ACACACACACACACACACACACACACACACACACACACAGAGATCCTTTTTAACTGCATCCTTTTTTAAGGAGCCCTGGTGATGGTGGATTCTCCAAAATAGGCTGCTAACCAAAACCTCAGAGGTTCAAATCCACCAGTCGTTCCATGGGAGAAAGTCAGACAGTGTCCTTCAGTCAAGATTTACCGCTTCAGAATCCCACAGTCAGAAAGGGCCCGACAGCAGTGGGCTTGGTTTCAGTCATCCGGACGCTCGAAGCTCCAGTGACTTAGTGGGTCCAGCATTGAGCTGCTAACGAAAGCTCCTTGCAGGCCCCGGGGCAGGTCCTCGTTACGGCTCTTCCTCTTTTCTGCTCACCGTTTACTTTAGCAAACGTGATGTCCTCCAACGCATCACAGCACGCTCCTCACAGCGCGTGCGCAAAGTCTCACCGTCCTCACTTCTCAGGAACATCTGGCTGGACAGCTTCTCGGGCGTTTGAACAGTGAAGTCCCCACACTGGGTGATTGTTCTTTGCTTTTATAAAACCCAGGTTAGGTGGGGCCAGAGCTCTGAATAAAGGTCTAGGTCCCAAATTCCACTCCAACCAGATTCCATTTGACTTATTCCTGACCAAGCCTTGGAGAAGGGCATCGTGCTTGGAAGAGTAGAGGGTCAGCACAGGAGAGGAAGACCCTGGAAGAGATGGACTGACACAGTGACTGTGGCAGTGGGGACAGGTGTGTCAGAAACAGAGAGGTGGGCTCAGGACAGGGCAGGGTTCAGAGCTTGTCCACAGGGTCATTATGAGTTGCAGTCAGTTCAATAGCACATAACAATTCCTCACTGTGGTCTGAGGCCAGTGATCACCGCTGTCCCTTTAGTGCCCCAGAGTCCATGCGTAGGGAGACCTTTGATTCTTAGGATTCCTGGTGGCATAGAATTCCAGTGCTAACCAAAAGTTCAAACACACCAGCTGCTCCTTGGAAGAAAGGTGAGGCAGGCTTCATCCGTAAGTGTTATGTGTTGGGAAGGCCTGCTCTGTCTACAGGTCATTGGAATTGATGCAATTACAGTGACTGATTGTTTGTTTGGTCTTTATTTCCCTTTTAATTTTGTTGGGGAAAAAATATGTGCAGTAGGAAACACAAGTATTCCTTAACTTCTCTGTGCGGAGTTCAACAGTTCTGACCACAACCTGTCACCACTCCCGTCATCTCTACCCTTATTGTGTCACCACCACTGACTTACACCCACTGCCCCCGAGTTCTCAGCTTCTGTGTGTTAGTCACTGTGGGCAATCTGATCCCATGTAGACAGTCCTTTTAAAAAGTACAACCCAAGGGAGCTCTGGTGGCCTAGTGGCAAGAAGCTGTACTGCAATCCCAAAGGTACATGGTTTGAATCCACCAGATGCTCTTCTGGAGAAGGAGGGACAATTTCCTCCTGTACCAGTCAGATCTGATTTGATGGTATATGCACAAAAAAGTAATAAAATAAAAAGTACAACCCCCAGGAGAACATGCTTTACTAGTGTCGTTCAAAGGTGACTTCAGGAGACAATTGCAGCTGTCCTTTAAAGATTTTCTCAGAGTAGAAGGTTTCCCCAGACTCAGTAGATCCACTAAGTCTGGATTCCACACACATTTGAAATTCTACACAGCACACTTTCCCCTTTTAATCTTGATCTATCTATTGACTCCTTAATCAAACCTTTCAGTAATAGTAGCTGGGCACCATCTAGTTCATCTGGTCTCCTGGCTAAGGGGACAGTAGCTCTTAGACCTGCAGTCCAGCTCCTTCTCTGACTCGTGGACATGCTGCTGCTGCTGCTCCAGGATTGGAGACCAATATTCCATCTTGAATAATCCCAAAGCAACCACACAGCCATCAAGTGAACGCCAACTCATAGCACCTCTGGTGGAGAGCACAGCGCTGTACTAGAGTTTCCAAGGCAGCAGATCTTTACAGAAGCAGACTGCCAGCCACGGCCCCACTCAGCAGCAGGACTAGAGGAGCCAACCAGCTAGCAGACGCGTGGTTTACCCACTGAGCCACCAAGGTCTTGAGCTTCTGTAAAGGGTGATGTGACAATTTGGAAAAAGGGAAGGGTGAAGTTGAACAACATGATAAATATTAAGATCACTGGTCCACAGGAGGATTGCTGAAATGCCAAATGGTCTGTTGTTATATTTACCAGAATTTTGTAAAAGAAGAAAAACAGTGAGATCTGAGTGGAGGGTGGTGTGTGGCCTGATGTCACACGTACATGTCTCCTCTGCTTGGGCTGATGTAACACATGTACGTACACTCTGTGCCTGGTGTGCCATCACACACACACACACACACACACACCTCTGCAAAACTGATGTGTTGGTGGGCTGGGTTCCAACTGTCCCCTCAGCTCGATGGTGGTGTCCCAGCAGAGCTGCCCTCTCCTGGCACCCTCCCTCGTGCTGCCCTGGCTCTCACAGTCCCTCTGGGTCTGGAGGACACTCACCTCTCATCCTGACTTCCCCTCAGGCCTACATCCAGATCACCTTCGTGGAGCCCTACTTTGACGAGTACGAGATGAAGGACAGGGTGACCTACTTCGAGAAGAACTTCAACCTGCGGAGGTTCATGTACACGACGCCCTTCACGCTGGAGGGCCGCCCCCGGGGGGAGCTGCAAGAGCAGTACCAGCGGAACACAGTCCTCACCACCACGCACGCCTTTCCCTACATCAAGACCCGCATCGCCGTGGTCCAGAAGGAGGAGGTAACGGCCGGGCTGAGGGAGCAGGCCAGAGTCCTTCCCGGGGGCCAGAGGCAGGAATCAGAGAGGGCCCAAGGGAAACATTGCAGTGATGGTTCTTCTGTGTCTTTCGTGGTGCCAGGAGCCCCATTTAAAGCCAAAATCCCAGTGTAGAAAAGTCAATTCTGATACACAGTGACTCTGCTGATCAAGTAGCACTTCTCAGGGGCCCCTGTACAGCCATCTCTGTAGGAGCAGATCGCCAGGCCTTTCTTCTGTGCCACCTTGGGTGGGTTTTAAGGGCCTCCTTTTGGGCTAGGATCCAAGAGAAATTCTTTGTGCCTCATGGGGACCCCGGATCCTGCTTACCCACTGCTGTCAAGCCAAAGGGAGCTCTGGTCACACAGCCCACAGGGAGTCATGTGCACTCGAAAGCCATGCCTCTCCGCTGGTTCAAATCCACCAGAAGGAAGAAAGAGGGAGAAATGCAGGCAGTTACCTCCTGTATAATTGCAGCCTCCGTAAACCCCATGGAGGGTCAGCTATGGGTCACTTCCAACTCAATGACAATGAGTTTGAGGGTTTTGGTCTCTTCAGTACCAGCTACCAGGTCTCTGAGATTGTAAGCCTTTACACAATGAATCCATCTTTCTCTCTCAGATCCGCGGGTGGTTTTGAACTGCCAGCCTTTCAGATACCTGTGTCACACATTAACTGCTACAACCCCAGGGACTCTACATGGGCAGCTAGTTACCTATTCTACAGCCTGAGTGTGTATTTAAGTGTTAAATGTGTCTGTCCTTGGGAGTGCTCAGAAAGAGACCTCATGCTTGGAAAAGTTGAAGGTCAGCGGAAGAGAGGGAGACCCTCACCAGGCAGGTCTGCCATCAAGACTGTCACCGTGGGCTGCAGACGGCAGAGATAGCAAGGACGGCATACTTAACTGGAATAGTTTCTGTAGTTCCTGTATACTCACAAGTGTCCAGGTGATCCAAGCATTGGTGTGTTGCCAATTAGTAGGGTCACGCGGAAGGTGTGCAGTCCTGAGGGCCAGTGGCGTGCTGTGAGGGGACTGTGTAAGACCAACAAGGACACAGGCCGGTTTTCTGATGATCCCATCTTGGGACCTGGGACGTCAGCACCCCCACCTGCAGACTGACAGGCCCTTTGCTGCACTGATTTTATGAACAATAGAGGGTGCTATGATACCTGCTGGTGCTGTGGTTAAAGAACAGGGCTGCTAGCCAACAGGTCACTGGTTCAAACCTACCAACCACTTCTCAAGAGGAGGACATGGAATTTTGCTTACATGAAAGAGTTCATCTTGGAAGTCCTTTGGGGCAGTTCTGCTCTGTTCTGCAAGGCTGCTGGGTGTCGACCTGAAGACAGAGGGCTGATGTTTTGGTTTTGGGCTTTGTCTTCGGTTCCATCTCGTCTGGCTTGTACAAACCACACCTGTGATGCCCTGGCTGAGGTTTTCAGTTTTTGTTTCTACAGAGAGCGAGCTTCAAGGCACCTGCTACATTATCTGGGAGCTGGATCCTTCTAGACAGCAAGGCCTCCCCACCCCCGCCTTGTTCAGTGTTCCCACTCACACCTAATCTGATAGGAATTTTCAGAGCGCGGCCTGCCCAAACATTCCACGTGGTTTTCATGGCCCCAGCTCTCCTTCCCACACCCATGCTCCATCTGTCCACACATGGTTTAATTAGATTAGGTCATTAAACAGCAGGCTAACTGCATCATCGGGTGATCAGCACGCCCATGTGGGCCACACCCCATTGGGCTGGAGAGGAAGGGGCCGAGCTGGGGGGCAGGAGGCAGCTGAGGGTCCAGCAGCCCAGCCCATCTGAAGGCAACTCACAGGAGGAGAGAGAGGCCCAGCTAGGGAGCCCTGTGGTAGGAGGCTGGTTAAAGGTGACTGCTGCATTTCCTTTCCCTCTGGACTCTGAACACTGGGTTCATCTACACACAGCACAGAATACTCTTGCTTCTCAATGGCATCGTCACGGTTCCTGTGGTCCCGTCTGTTAATCTCCCAGCACCCTGCCTCACAGCCGCAGATCTGAGCAACCAGCAGACTGACCCCACCAACTCTGATTACCAGGATTCAGCTGAGTGAGGCTGGGGACCTAGGATACCAGAGGCTGGTAGATGGGGAAGGACGGCTGGGTGCCAAGCTTTACCACCTTTCCCAAGTGAGAGGCTCAGAACAGGAGGGACCTGCCTGCTGACGCAGAAAGAGGTAGACTTTAAGACGACATGGAAACGAGACCAGACGCCAGCCTCCTCCCTCATCAGCTGTCATTGTTCACAACTTCCTTGCTGTGGGCTCCTGTCCAGTTAGATCCATGGCACCCCCACCCCATGGGTCACCGAGTTGAACTTCTTACAGGGTTTTCTTGGTTGCCATTTTTACAGAAGCAGTTCACCATGGAGTGCTGGGGAGGTGGGGGTGGGGGGTTAGGACCACCAGCCTTTGGGCTGCTTTACATTGCATGTAACCTTGCATTGAGTTCATTTCCAGACTCTTTGGAACTAGCTTAGCCTTAGAAAGAGTCAGGAGGCTGTTGAAAGGATTAAGTCATAGCTATACATATAGTTCCTGGAGTTGGGGGGGGGGGAGAACTCCACTACCATCAAGTCCATTCCAGCTGCCAGTGACATCGGGGGACAGAGCAGAACTACCCCCAAGTCCTCACAGAAGCAGACTCCTCATCTCTGTCCTGTCAAGCAGCTGGTGGGTTTGATCCACTGACCTGATAGTCAGCAGATGAATTTCTTACCCACTACACTGCTGGGGCTTCTTAAACCAATTGCCACAGAGTCACTTACAACTGGAGACCTTATGTGACTCAGGAGAGCCGCGCTTCACAGGGTTTCCACTGCCAAGGATGTTGGAAGTAGATTACTGGGATTTCCTCCCAAGGCTCCTCTGGGTGGATTTGAACTGCTAACCATGCAGTCAGTAGCCGAGCACTTAACTCTCTGTGCCACCTGGAGACAGGCCGTAAAAAGCAGTGACCCCTGGTGGGCACAATGAATCTAACAGGCCGTAAGAAGTGCTGGGCCCACCCTTCCTCTTTGACCTCCTCAGATTATTTTAAATTATTCTAAAAGACTAGGAAGCCCTGGTATTACAATGGATTTAGTGCTAGATACTAGTCAAAGGTTGGGAGTTCAAACCTACCAGCCAGCCTTCCATGGGAGAATCATATGGCAGTTTGCATCTGTAAGGATTTCAGCCTTGAAGGCTCAATGGGACAGTTTTGGTCTATCGGTCACAGGGTCTCGATGAGTGATAGTCCATCAGCGCCTGATTATCTGTAGCTCAGAGGCTGCCTTGTGCCACAGCTTCCCCGCCGTCTCTACCACAGTCCAGCCCACTGCTGCAGTCACTGTGTCAGTCCATCTGGTTGAAGATCCTCCTCTCTTGTGCTCACCCTCCACTTCTCCCAGCGTGATGCCTTGTTTCCAAGGACTAGAACCTCCTTAGAACATGCTCACAGTACGTAGGACAAATGCCACCATCCTTGCTTCCAAAGAGAATGCTGGCCACACTTCCTCCAAGACAGACTTGTTTGTTCCGTGGACAATCTATGGGACATTCGTGCTCTTAGCCAACACCAAGGTCCAAGGCATCCATTCTTCAGTCTTCCTGAATCATTGCCCACCTTTCACATGCATATGTAGCAGTTGAAATAGGCCATGGCTTGGGTCAGGTGCACCTTTGAGTTTTAAGCAAAGAGGACAGATCTTTAGCACTTTGAAGAGGTCCCTGCCAGCAGATTCTCCCAGGGCAGCACATCTCTTGATGTCTTAACTTCTGTTATTAGTGGTGTTGATTGTGGATCTAAGTAAAAGGAGATTGTTGACAACTTCAGTATTTTCTCCACTTTCACGATGTGCCTCTTGGCCCAGTGGTGAGGAGACTGGTTCTCCTGATGTTGAGAGAGTGTCTGTATTGAAGGTTGTAGTCTTTGGTCTACTTCAGTAAGTACTTCCTGCTGGGAGTCAGAAGTCACCCAACAGCAGTGGCTTTGCGTTTCTGAAAGCCTTTCCTCAGCTTCTTCACATCCGGAGGCCCTCGCTGTCACAGTTATTTCCGTGGCCACAGCTGGTGAGGCAGGACACTGACGTCCACATTTGTGTTTTGTGCTCAGTTTGTGTTAACACCAATCGAAGTTGCCATTGAAGACATGAAGAAGAAGACCCTGCAGTTGGCCGTGGCCATCAACCAGGAGCCTCCTGACGCAAAGATGCTGCAGATGGTCCTGCAAGGCTCGGTGGGAGCCACCGTGAACCAGGTATGGGGACCCGGAGTCTCGGCAGCTCTGGGTCCTAATCTTGGGTGGGTTTCTCACTCCTTCTTGAATGGGTGGATGGGGAATGTGATCCACCAGTAGACAACATTCCTGCCCGAGGTTGGACCTGAGAGAATGTCCCACGTGCACTGAAGAATATACTTTGTGCCCCTGCTGGGTGGAATGTTCTATGTCTGTGAGACCCAGTGGATTCCTTATATTATTTCCTTCTTCTGCATTTTTAGTGAGGTTCTTTCTAGTCATCTCTCTTTCATCAAGAATGCTGCTTGAAGTCTTCTGCTCATGTTGTAGACTTGTTGAGTTCTCTTTTCTCTGCTAAAATTTTCTTTCATGGGCCTTGGGGCTCTGTCACTGGGTTAATTAGAATTACGTCCTCTTGTTCAGTTGATCCTTTGATCATTTTGTATTTACCTTCTTTACCTCTTAGGCTTGTTTTCCTCTTGAAGCCTGTTTTATCATGATTATCACCATCCCTGCTCTTTTTGTTGCCGTTAGCTTGATACATTCTTTCCCCGCCTTGATTTTCAGTCTGTCTTTGTCTTTGTGTCTAAGGTAGATAGTATATTGATAGATCATGGTTTTTTATCCAATCTTCTCCTCTTTTTCTCTTGATTGGTGTATTTAGTGAATTCACATTCAGCATAATCATCAATAAATACAGTGAGAGTGAACACTTGTGAGAGGCCTCTTCTCTGTCAGGGAGCAATTCGAGATAGAGCAGGAATGCTCATGATGGATGGACTATGTCTTAGGAGTCCTTCTTCCCAGAGGGGTCTTCAGTTGGGCCAGACCAGGCGACAGGGTGTAAATCAGGGGTCCACACCTGGCGTGCAGGCAGCCCCTGGTCTCAAGTGTCTGATGTACCCACAACCCCTACCAGCTACAGAGCTTTAAACCAGTTCCCTCATGACCGACGAAGAGAGAGAGGCCTGAATTGTCACAATTTGGGTGATTTGTCACAGTGACCAGAAAGTGCTGGTAATACAATAGTTAAGTCCCATTTTTAGTAAATCAACTCAAAGCATTTGCATGCCTTTCAGCTGCTGCCTTTCTCGTATGAAGTCAAGCCTATTATTAGTGATGTGTGAGTGAGAAAATAAGTTTTTACTTCTGCATATTCCTCAAAACTCTAGACGCCCCCCCAACCTTTTACAGTTCCCTCAGAAGCTCAAGACCTTCTTTGATTTTATTTTGTTCAAACAAACTACAGAAATAAAGGTTCAGATTAAGAAGTCACTCAGCATATTTTATCTCAAGTCATCTATTTTTTCTGCCTATGTCTTTATCTTTTTCCTTTCCTTTTCTCCTCAGGGACCTCTGGAAGTGGCCCAGGTGTTCCTGGCTGAGATTCCAGCCGACCCCAAGCTCTATCGGCATCACAACAAGCTGAGGCTGTGCTTTAAGGAGTTCATCACACGGTAAGGACAGGGCACAGCTCATCAGGGTGGGCTGCCCAGAGCCCAGGGACCCACCCGGACAGGCGGGCTGCCCAGAGCTGGTCCTGGGACCCGTGTCTGCGGCACCACCCAGACCCAAACCCGGTGCTGCTGAGTGGACACGGACCCAAGGACCATGCCTGTCCCTGGTGTCAGAGTGGAAAGGACATTAGGTTTTCCCTCCAGATTAGCCATGTTTGAACAACTGCCGAGAGGGAGGGTGAGTATCTGAAAGGCACATCCTTATATTCTTTGTGTTTGTTTGAAACCCCATCCTCTCTCATTGCTGTCAGCTTGGAGCTGACTTGCCGCTGGCCCTCAGCAGAAGCTGTAACGTGTGAGAGGCCTGTCCTCTTCCCTCAAGCTGGTGGTGGCTTCTGCCCCTCAGGGGAGTGGAACACCTCCCCACGACGACAGGGCCCGCTCGTCTCTGTGAGCGCGTTTTCCATTGATTTAATAACACGTTGCCTGCCGAGCGTGGCTATGTTGATGTTAGCCAACCTGCTGAGTGTGGGTGCTGGCTGCTGTCGGTCTGATTTCTTTTTTCTCTCACAAGCTAATAACCGACAGTGGGGATAGCAGGAGCTTTGGTTGAACTTTAGGAAAGAGACACATTAGAGGACATTTCAAGAGGTGACAGAGGGATCAGGCAGAAGGCAGATTTTCAAGAAGTCTACAAAAGGAAAGCACAAGGGAACAGTCCCCTGAATCCTCCTCCATTGGCTGGAATCACCCCCCACATCTGGGCGAAAGTCGGGGCCTCTCCCTCTGTAGGCATCACAGCCCTGGGAACCCACCGGAGGCCCAGCCATGAGGCAGAATCCACTCGACAGCCGGTCATTGCACTTGATTTTAGGGCAGCGCACGGCACTCGGTGACTGGGGTAATGGGGGTGGCTGTCAGAGACAGTGAAATTGGCACAAGATAGAACAGGGTTCAGAGCGGTTGTGCATAGGGTCACTGTAAGTCACTAACAAGTCAGGGGCACCTGACAACAACAGGGTGCTCTGGTGGTGTGATGTGAGTGGTTTGTAGTGTGGTGTTGAGTGATGTGTGGGTGGTGTGGGGTGTGGCGTGATATGGCGTGGTATGTGGGGTGGTGTGGGGCGTGGCGTGGTGTGTGGCGTGGGATGGGTGTGAGGGTGTAGTGTGATGTGTGGTGTGTTGTGTGTGCTGTGGTGTGGCATGGCATGGCATGGCGTGGTGTGTGATGTGGGGTAGTGTGTGGGGTAGGGTGTGGTGTGGTGTGGGGGATGTGGCGTGTCATGTGGTGTGCAATGGGGTGGGGTAGGGTGGGGTGTGGTGTTGTGTGTAGCATGGCATGTGGTTGGTGTGGTGTGTGCTGTAGCATGTTTGGTGTGGTGCGCTGTGCTGTGGTGTGTGGTGTGGTGTGCTATGTGGTGTTGTGTGTGCTGTGG